TTTCTTGGCAGCTTTATATTCCGTTGGTGATAAGTGGTCCAAGGAGGTTTCCAGAACTCTCAATGCACTGTCATCTCGTTCCCTCCGTCTCTGCTCGTTAGTCTCATCACATTTTGCTACCCAACTGACTGGTTCACAAGCTCCGATAATATCTCCTTCCCTTACTGTTATGGTGGTAGGTAAAACATTTGCTACCCTCACAGGAATGTCTCGTTCGGTGGTCACTAAAGCTCGGGCAAGTAACAGCTTGCTGGGGGATTCCTCACATGACTGTACTAATCCAACGCAGCACCCAGGGTCCTCTTCTAATCGCGCATGGATGATCTTCTCAGTGAATCCAGGAATTCTCACAGTCTTCGCTAGTCGTAGCCTCACAGACGTCTCCCTCTCGGCCGGTGTCGTTAGTACAAACTCTTCTCCTCCAAATTTCATGGTCTTCTGATCATTGTCGAATGAAAACCCGTAGTCGCTTATCAGATCCATGCCGAGGATAAACTCATCTTCGATATCTGCGACGTATACCATGTTCACTAAATGGAGTCTTCCAAGCGTCAACTCGATATCAGCCATCCCTCGTATAGGTGCATTTTCTCCAGTGACCGTATGAAGAACAAAGTTGGAAGTGGTTGGTTTTATACTTCCAGGCCGGAGAATGTCACTGCGTACCAGGGAAACTGATGCACCGGTGTCTATGGTGCAGGTTACATCCATTTGGTTGATTTTTCCTTTGATGGTCAGGCTATCAGTTGTTCTCCTTATCCTTTTGATGTTTATGACCCTGGGGGCTTCGTTATTGCTAGCCAGCATGCGCCCCGATACGCTGGCTAGTTCTAGTTTTCCTGGTATCTATCTGAGGACTCACTAGATGACCTAGTCCTCGCAGGTGAGTACGACCGTAAAGGCGTCCTTGCAGGTGAAGAAGATCGTGGTGGTACTCTCACCTTACAGTCCCTTATTAGGTGTCCAGTTCTGCCACAGCGATAGCAGGATCTGTTTCGCTGGTTGCTTGACCCACTCTTCATTTCTTTGATCGAGTCCTTCAGTTCTTCAAACATTTTTCCTAACATTTTTGCCAATGGGTCCACGTGTTCGGAAGGCTCCTCTATGGACACAGCTCTCACTTTTGGCCTAGAGGTGTTGAAGGCCGCTTCTACCTCCAGAGATCTTACAAGGGCTTCACTGCTCCTCTTAAAGTGTGTTAGCCTCTGAGTCTTCTGTATTTCTGAGTCTCTCAGCCAGTCGATGAATACCTGCACCGCCAGTTGTTCTTTGAAGTTCTCTGGTGCCTCTGGGTACGCTAATTGAGTCAGTCTTCTCACATCTGCTTCGAACTCCTGTAGGCTCTCTCCAGACTTTTGCACACGATTTTTCATCTGAGCCCGGTAAAGCTGTTCTCGATGTTGGTCTCCATACCTGAGTTCTAGCGCAGCCACTAAATCTCCGAAGTGGATTTGTTGTTCCACTGGGATCGACTGTAACATCCCCAAAGCTGGTCCTCTCAGAGCTACAATGAGTGCAGTAGCTTTTTCCTCGTCACTCCACCCATTTGCACTTGCTGCAGCCTCAAATTGTCGGCGATACATAGACCAAGGCGACTGTCCATCAAAAGTTGGTGGTTTCACGGAAGAACCCGATGTGGCAACCCTGTCACGACGATCTTGACTTCGTAGCGAGGCGATCTGATTCGCTACATCTCTTTTGATTGTATCGAACATGGAATCTATTCTTGAAACTTCCTGGTTAAGCTTGTCGTCAATTTTGGTGAAATCTGTCTTCAACCCATCTATTTGCACATCAGTTTTATGCAGAATTTGTTCGAAGAAGATTTTCTGATGTTCTCGTTCTTTTTCTTGATGCTCTAGAATTTTCTGTAACTCTTCTTGACGACGTTGCTCTTCTTCTAATTTTTCCTCTTGACGACGTTTCTCCTCCTCTTGTTTTTCTTTCTGTCGTCGTTCCTCTTGTTCCGCGAACTGATTTTGCATAAATTTCAAAATGTCTTCCATCGCGTCGTATGACGTACTCCTTGTATTCACCATACGTCTTCAAATGTCCTCGAAAAATCCACATTTCTGACACCACTGTTACGATTTTACTCTGGGTCCGTAATAATTTAACACTCGGTAGAACACTTAAAACGATTTATTCTGAACACTACTATACAATAATAACAATACTCGTACTAAACACTTCCGATTCACAACACTTCTTCGATCGTTATTATAACGCTTCCAAATAAAGACTTCTCTTCCTGTCCCTAACGACATCTATTTATATTACCTAATAAAACGTCTAGATTCCACTCGAAATATCGTGAACAGGTCGATAATCTTCTCGAGTCATCTCAATAGCCGTCGAATCACCTAATTACTATTCCAAGAAATATGGCTTGTTTACTTCCCGCCGCAGGTAGCTGGGATCGATTGCCAGGGTCGTAACAATATATTCAACATCCTGTTTGGTTTCTTTTGGCTGATTTCGAAGTAAAAGGTTGATTGTCCTCCACATTGATTTTTGGTCTCCATTTGATAAATGTTCTTGAAAGTAACTTTGTTTCTTCTCCCTTACAGTTTTTTTAACAACTTTATTATAATATTGGTACATATCAGTGTATACTTGTATATTTCTTTGCCCTTTCATTTTTTGGAAATATTTGTCCCGCATTTTAATCAGTCTATGTAATGTCTCATCAAACCAAGGTTTGGAATCTTCTTTCATCTTCAATTTTTTGGTATAGGCACATTCTTGAAATATTCTTATTAGATTCTCATAAAAAATATTAGTGTCTTGGAATATGTGCATATTCATTTGGAAGGATGTAAGTTCAGTTTTCAACTTATCAATATCAAATTTTGTTATTTCTTTAACTTTAACTTTCTTGTTTTTACTGATATTTTTTATGGGAAAATGGACAATTTGAATTTGGTGGTAACTAATTGGTGATATTTTTTGAGATATTTCTACACTTTCATTCGAATTTGTAGCAATATGGTCTATAAGACTAATTGTATTATTTATATCTCTTGTTGGTATATCTGTATTACATAAATTGAAACTATTTGTTGAGTAAATTTCCATAACCCTTTTTGTATTTGTATCATTTTTCTGAAGAATATTGATATTCATATCACCTATCAATAAACTTGTGGAGCCCATGTTGCTTAAATTTTCCAGTTTTTCTTCCAAAATTTCAAAAAGATTGTCTTTCTTGAATGAAGGTGGTCTGTAAATTCCGCAAATTATGAGATTAAGGGATTGTATCTTCACTGCCAAATATGATAATTCTTCTTCTATTTTATCAATTAGTTCAAAATCCAAATTTTCATAGAGGAATATTCCTAATCCTCCTCCTCTCTTTTCCCTACTTGCATAAATAGAAGTGAAATTTTTAAAATTGTAATATTTTTCTTCTTCTTTGTTCATCCAGGTTTCGGTAATAACAATTATTTTGACTTTTTCTTCGAATGCTATCATTTCAATTTCATCCATCTTCGTTTCCATCGATCTTGCATTTATATATAATATTTTTATTTCACTATTCGTCGCTTTCAATTTATTTGTTGGATTAATATTAATTGATATAATCGATTTGTTCTCTGGCAATTCTGATTCTGTTCAAGTAAATAGGACATTGAACAGTATTGGCTTCATGTGTAGAGTCTCCTGTCTTACCATATTTAGTTTGAGCTACTTTGCAATTTATACAACATGGAATAGATGATTTATTACAATTTCTAATGTCATGGTTACCAGCACAAAAGGCGCAAACTTTGGTACGATTACATTCAGTAGCTTTATGTCCATAACCACAGCATTGATAACAATACCTTATATTAATATCTTCTTTTATGATACATACATTCCAGCCAAGACAGATTTCTTTATCAACTAATTTCTTGAAAGTTCGTCCCGATGTTTCTACATACAAAATGTATTTTTTTGAAAATTTGGATCGTCTTGTATATCGTATGGATAATTCATCATCAGCATCAATATGTCTCGCAATTCGTCCAAGAGTTCTTCATCTGTATATTCTCTTTGAAGGCCTATGAATACGATTCTAGGGCGATTCATTTTTGTGATATGTACCGAATAATCTGGGCCCAATTCTTTCACACTCAGATCTTTCATTCTTCTCATTCCTTCATTACACTTCACTTACACCCGCAAGAGGAACGCTTTCTTATTTGATTATACTATGGAAGGAGTAGCGCTAGCCAGAGTTTCTGAAATGTGTGACCTGGGATATTGATACTGAACTTTCATTTCGAGCGTACGTGGCAAATGCAGCGCGGAAAGCGTCAAAAATGTACGGATTTATTGTTCGTAATACGCGGCAATTTACAAATATTGACTCAATAAAAATACTGTATATTTCATTCGTAAGGATTATACTAGAATATGGAGCAATCATATGGAATCCCTATTACGAGTGTCATAAATATACTATTGAGAGAGTTCAAAATAAGTTCTTGCGATTTCTACATTACAAAGAAACTGGGCACTACAACAATGATGTTTCGAGGGCGTCACTTTTACTTAAATACAACTTGTCTTCTCTTGAGAATCGAAGAACAGTCTCCAGTATGCTGTTTCTTCATAAACTGATACATGGCAATGTGGATGACATCTGTCTTCTATCACAAATCAACTTCAATGTACCAGCATATTCTACACGTGTTACAAACACATTTTATATAGATGCTCATACGAATATCCACTCTGCTGGTCCTTTAAATACTATGTGTAAAACATACAATGGTATATCTCATTCTTGTGATATTTTCTCGTTAAGTTTGAATAGATTTAGATCTAGAATATATGATGAACTGTGAGATGTTTTTTAAGTGACTACATATACGTCTATCTTACTATACTTACTATACTTCCTACTCTGTAATTGGGGCAACCTGTTGAGTTTGTAAATTAAAATAAAATAAAAATAAAATAAAATTATCACTTGTCTTTATGATTATGCCACCATCTTTTATTTCTCTTACACTCTTGATTGAAGCTTTTGCTTCAATTGGATTGATTTTCTTATGAACTTCTTCTTTGGTCTGTCGACTGGTTTGTTTTTTATTTGGTTTAATTATTAAAGCAGGTGTATGTTGTTGAACTAATTCTTTAACTGTGCTTCTGGTGATTTCGGAATATGTTTTCGTTTTGTTCTGTTCTGATTGTTCTATTTCCAAGTAGTTATTGAGCTTTCCATCTATTTCTTCCAATTTTGAGACAAGAACCTCATCTTTTCCAATGATTCCTTTTGGTTTTTCAATTTTAGTAATCAAGTGTTCAATTTTTGCATTCATTCCATGTATTATTGTTCCAAGCAACTCATTTTGTTCTTCTAACTTCTTAATTTGATTTGGTACCGTATCAGTCATAATCCTTGAATTCTCTTCTGGTTCCTTTTGGCAGCTTTTACATGTCCATTTAGTCTTGCATTTCTTTATTTCGTTGATTTGTTTCCTTGTTAATGTAGAACAAACCAAACACATCCATTTTCCACATGAAGTACAGTTGATTGAGTATGATTTCTTACTGAAATTCACTAGGCATACGGTACAATTTTCACTATTCTTGTTTGCAGTTTGACTAACTATTAGATTTTCATGATTTTCTTGTGTTTCCTTTGAATTCCCTGCATCCTTTTCGTCTTGAGTGGAGATATAGAACTGCTTCCTGAATTCTGTATATTTTTCGTCACTTGGGTATTTTGGTGGTAGATAAAAACTTTCTTCGTCTGAATTTTCTATTGAAGGAATTCGAATTTTGATTATTTCTGACTTTGACTTTTTCTTTTTAGATGTCATTCAAACTTATTTCATTGTAATAATGATTTCAATATGGAAAATTGCAGCTTCACTGGATGTTTATTCGATACTTCACTAAATCCTCTTCCACTGATACACTTTTCAGATCAAAATACAGTTTTTTAACCACACAATTTGACTAATACTCGCTACCCACTTTCTCTCCCAACTTACTATACAGGGTATACCGGGTGACACAGGCTATCGGGCCACCCCTGTAACTTCTGCATTCGTCAACGGATTTTTCTGAAATTCGGTACAGTTATATAAGCAACTATTTCGAATTTGATCACATTACAATCCAATATGGCGGACTTCCGGTTTTTCTGGAAATGCCAGCAATTTTGTTTTTTCAAATGGAACACCCTGTATATTTTACATTTTCAAGTTCAACAGGTCAAAACAAGTGCAATCTTGATGTCAAATGTCATTTATTCCACAGCCTACCTAGTTGAAAAATTATTCTAACTGCAAGGAAATTCATAAACTAGTTGTTGATTTTTGAATGTATACAATTTGTTACTGCACCGAAAAACAAAAATGATATTTCATTTTGTTCCTTAATGTATGTCCTAGGGAAACGGGTAGGTGGCCCATAGGGGTTCCATTTGAAAAAAAATAATTTCTGATCAAAAAGTGATGTGGCTGAATTGATTCCTGGATATGTGACACAAAAAATAATTTTTCGGAAAAAATTATGTTCTTCTGTTATGTGTGACTCATTGTGAATAGTCTTGACCACATCTCATTTATCCACGAGGTAAAATGAAAAAACAATTTTAATTTAATTTTTTTCGAAAAAATGACATCTGAAATAAAGATTGCACTTGTTTCGACCTGTTGAACTTGAATATGTAAAAATATACAGGATGTTTCATTTGAAAAAACAAAGTTGCTGGCATTTCCAGAAATACCGAAAGTCCGCCATATTGGATTGTAATGTGATCAAATCCGAAATAATTGCTTATATAACTGTATCGAATTTCAGAAAAATCCGATGACGAAAGCAGAAGTTACAGGGGTGGCCCGATACCCTGTGTCACCCGGTATATAAATATGTACAAAAATCTTTGAGCTTTGCTTCATATCTCTGACCTTCATATTTGGCACAATTATTCATTTTATCATTCAATATTTGGAAAAGAGAGTTGATCGCCTGTTTATTTTGAGATCTGTTGTGTGACAAGAAAGAATCCTCAAACTGTATATTTCTACTCATCACATTTTGAAGTGTACTTTTTATCTTTTCCAGAACGGGAAAAAAATCTGTGAGTGTTTTCAAATTTTGAGATTGAGCCATTCTTTCTATGAGCCGCATTTTTCTATCATGTCTGCTATAAAATCTGTTCCGCCAATTTCTTTGCAATTTTGGAGACTTAACAGGACTCAGGCAGGAAGTACTGTCTCCAGTTGCACTCCCACCTTTAGAAAAATCCGGATTGTTCGGTAATTGAATAATTGGCAAGTCATATTCTGGCAGAATGTCTATATCATTTGGGCTTTGCTGATAACTCTCTGGTTCCACCGAGACTTCTGATGCAGATGTTACTATAACATCAGAGACTTGCTCATCTAGTCCAGTGCCACATTCATTACTGATAAATTCAATAGAGGAAGTATCGCATGAAGTATTGTCGACACCGCCAGGGTTTAGTATCTGGATACAACTTGTTTCCGTGTCGTATGAACGATCACATCGATTTTTTTTTGCAGAAGAATCAGTTGCAATTGAAACTTCAGTAGATTGGTTTAAATATCCTAAAATCGAATAGGATGATTTGCTATTCCTGTTCAATTTCGATAAATCAGTTGAGTGGGTCTTCAAGTGTTTGTGATAGTTAGAAAGAAGCCATGTTCCTGTTGCTGCCCTGAAAATTTTACATTTCGAAGAACATATGAAACAGCAGATTTGACAATATTTTGTAGTGCCAGGCATCACTATTATTTTCATTTCATTAATTCTTTCGAGTACTTTCGATGCATCATCTTTGGAAGTAGAACAAATATACTCTCTCGTCCATCTTATCGCTTTCTGTATAATATCGTTTCTTTCTTCAATCGATATTTCTTCTGTTGATTCACTTTGAGCAGCCACTGGCCTTTGACTTTTACTCTTCTCCTTGTTTGGAGCAATTTTTCTGGCTTTTCCTTGTTCATTTGGTACTATCATTCTATTTTTCGCAAACAAACCCAATTTGAATAAGAGCTTTTTCTGTGCAGGAAGGAAGCAAAAACTCGCCGGACAGCTAGCGAATTTGTCTAAATATTGAAATAATTCATCATTCCTGAAAACATTCGGCACCACTGCCCGAGCAGTTTCTTCGATTTGTCCTAAATCATCATCATTCAGATCTTCCAATGTCAAGTTGTTGTCAAAACCAGCAAAAATTAGCAATTTTTTTAAATGAATTGGAATCTTGACCTTGAATTCCCTCTCGAAGTCATCGAAAATATTTGGTATGTTTTCTGAACTTCTGGAATAGGAAATGTCGGACATCAATCTGGATGTAAGTAAGTAAGTAAGTAAGTAAGTAAGTAAGTAAAGTTTATTGAACTACGTTACATATTTGAATGTTTGTAGCAAGTCAAAATTGTACAATAGACAGACAAGACGCTGGTTTATCACACACACACTTTAAAATCATTCTACAAGTCATTAAAACAGTATGACAGGACAACAGCACAAATATATAAAATATTGTAAGGATAGTCATAAACTTAATGATAATAGAGAAATAGAGATGATGCGGACCCTTTCAATATGCCTGCAATGATGAAATAAAAGCTAACACTAGCAAGTCACAGTGAAAGTAACAGAATTGAATAATAAAACTACATGAAGAGTTGATATACGACACGTTACATGAAAAGAAAAAGTGTTCTTCACAGATCATCCGCCGCGAAACTGTAATTGAGAAACTCATCTGCTGAATAAAAGCACTTCTTTAGAAGGAATGATTTGATTTTCATTTTAAACTGGAAGTCGTTGACTTGTCTTATTTTAATCGGAAGTTTGTTGTAGAAATCGAAGTTTAAAGAATTCTTTTGAGATACTGCCAGCCTGTATCTAGTAGTTCTCAGTAAGTTACTTGTCCTTGTTGGGTACGGATGAAAATCTGACTGTAAGGGGAGCTTCAGTCTCTTTTTATGTATTTCAATAAGTGTGTGAAAAATATATGCAGTTGGAAGTGGCATGATTTGAAGCCTGATGAAAAGGGGACGGCAGTGATCACTGTATCCGGCACCTGACATAATCCTCACAACTCTTTTCTGGAGAATGAATATTTTGCTTGCATGACAAGAACTGCCCCACAAAATAAGACCATATGTCATATGGCTATGAAAGAGACCAAAATAGCTAGACCTGAGTGAGTTGAATGAGTTGAATGAAATAATCTGAGAGAAGAAAGAGCACAGGAAAGAGCCGAGGAAATAGAACAAGTATTAGAGAAATTAACGTCATCCTATTTGCGTAAAATGGGATGCACTGTACATACAGTGCTTTCGTAGAAGAGTAGATACTGAATAAATTCAATTGTTCTTAAAAAAAATTGTTGTGAAACAGATCGATTTCTATTTTCAATTTGACACATGTATAAAGGAAAATTAAGTATCCACGTTTGTTTGTGTCTTGACGTCCACGAAAATTTATTCAAATGGAACACTCTTTAGATTATTCAATCTTCATAAAAAGCAGTATTCGATAATATATCACACATAGGGTTTGTATAAAGTGCGTCCGTTGAGTTAAGTACTCGCGTAAAATGGAGGTTGCCATTTAAATAGGTAATACAGAGGACTCAGTTTTCCATAGACGAATCATTCTGTTTAATGAATCAGTTGAATTTGAAAGAATTCCCGAAAGCAAATATAATTCGACGGATTCGAGCGTTCTTTCCAAAATTGGTAGGGTGTTCCATTTGGAAAAACTATCGTGGACGTCATGTTTCAAACGTGGATCACCCTGTATATTTATTTCTTCCTTATAAATGTAGCAAATTGAAGTTGAAACTCTCACGAGATTTCTCAGAAATTTTTAGTTTCGAGAATAGTTTGACTAAAATTGAATGTATCCTTTCACTTTACAAGATGACTTAATTTAACGGACACCCTATGTGTGATATATTTTTCGAATTCACCTTTTCATTGAGATTCTAAAAATTTTATAATATTTGGAAAATTTGTCATTACTCAAACGTGGATCACCCTGTAAATTTAATTTTGATGTGCAAATGTGGCTAATTGATTGTCTCAGGAGATTCCTCGGAAATGGATAGTTTGAAAGCACTGTACAAATGATCACAAACGGGAAGATCAGATAATATCTTTATGACGGACATGGTATGGTATGATATAGGAATATAAATTGAATATTGACTTACTTGAATTATGAACAAAACCACTCAAAACAAGTGACAGTAATAACACAAGAAATTTTCGTCCTGCAATAGAAGTCAGTAACGGTCAGTAACATGTAAAATCTTGTTTAAATATTTCACACCTGATTTTGCAGATTCTGGACCGTGTCTGAGCCGTGCTTTGAATTATACTGTAACGCGCATGCTTCATAACTATTTAAAACTATCTAAATATATTTAAATCTACCTTATTGTATTTAATTGTATCTGGGGTATTTAAGACTATCTGAATATATTTAAATCTATCTAATTGTATTTAATTATATTTAAGTGTATATAAGGTAATTAAAAATATTTAAATATATCTTGAATGTATTTAATGTATTTAAAGGGTATTTATAAATACTTTCTACAAAAATGTACACGTATTTGGAGGAATTTAAATATATTTAATTATATCTAGGGGTATCTAAAACTATCTAAATATATTTAAATCTATCTTATTGTATTTAATTATATTTAAGTGTATCTAATGTGATTGAATATATTTAAATGTTTCTTGAATATATTTAAGGTATTTAAAGGGTATTTATAGATACTTTTTACAAAAATGTACACGTATTTATGGAAGTGATCCACCCCTCGCGCTACCCTTAACTGATCACCGTGTACATGTACATTATCTTTAATTTACCATTTTACAACCACAATTATTTGTAGTATAAGAATTCCATGGTAGGCGAGATGGTAGGTATGGTATAGAGATTTCAATCTATGGTATGATGTCATTTTATTAGTTTTCCATTGTGCTCAAATTATAATTACTCATTAGTTGTTATTGATGTGCCTACCTGAAGCTGGAAATTCAATTGATTGAAAAGTTGACGAGTTTAGAAGCTGAAGATGCATTTTATATGTGGCACTGTTTTTATGTGCTGAACTATTTTAAGCAAAAGAAAATCATGAACTTCAGGTGACAATTTGAAGAACATGAGAATTGTAAAGTTGAAATGTTGAAAAATTGAATGATCAACAAGTTGAAAATTTATATGAATAGATATCCTGTGAGTATTTGTTTTAGAGTAAACCACTGGTGAATATGTAGGGTTACTGTTCCATTAATTTTTTCTATGAAAAGGAGGGAAGTTCTGAACCAAGAGGATTAAAACATGGCGGATTCAATATGGTGAACGAGCTTTGTAATGAATAGTACTTTGAAAACTGATAAAACAAACGCTTTTAAATATCCAAACTGATAAATAATAGTTCAAAAAAACTGAAGAAACACCCTTTTATAGATAGGCAAACTAACATCCAGTAGAAAATGAAACAATGAAAGTGTTTTGATAAATATACAACATACATTAGCAACTCCGTAATCAGTACATTCTACGTTTATTCTTCAGGAATCCCTATGAAAAATAATCAAGAGGATTGGGACAAGGTAATTCTCGGTCTAATGCCAAGAACGTAACCCTGGGAGTGCCGCAAGGGTCCATCCTCGCCCCGATACTTTTTAACCTCTATACGAATGATATAAATCAATTGAATGTTCCAGCATCCCTCACCTGTTATGCTGATGATACCTCGATAATGATCTCTGATAGGGCTGACAAAGAACTAATAGGCAAAATTAACAACACTTTCTCTATTCTACAGGAATGGTTTGCAAACAATGATTTGTTTCTTAATAGCAGCAAGACTTCATCAGTTAGATTCCATACGAGACAAAAACAATGTAATGATCTGAGCTTTACGGTTGGTGAGTCAACCCTAAACACGAATCAGGAGGTTGTTAAATTCTTAGGCGTATTTCTTGATGAATGTCTTACCTGGAATAAGCACTGTGAATACATTGTGAAAAAAATTAATGTTATAAATTTTCAACTCAGAACTCTGAGAAATACCTTGAATTTAAATCAATTGTGCAGTCTCTACTTTGCTCAAGTGGACTCACGTATCCGATATGGTATATGTTTCTGGGGGTCATCTACATCAGCGAAGGATATTTTTCTGGCTCAAAAAAAGGCTTTAAGAAGTATGATGGGCATTCAGAGAATGGATTCCTGCAAGCCTTTTTTCGTAAGGTTGAAGATATTAACGCTGCCCTGCCTCCTTATATTTGAATTATGTATCTATGTATTTGTTAACAAGCAACTGTTTGCTCGCAACAGTGATAAACATGATGTGAATACTCGCTCGAGGAACGAATTCTATATTCAACCAAGCAGAACAAATATTTTGAGTAATACACCAAATATCTTAGGTCCTAGAATATTCAATAACTTACCTGAATATTTGAAAAACGCAAAAAAAGTATCTTCTTTCAAAAAATGCTTGAAATCATTTCTCATAGAAAAGTGTTTCTACTCGCTTAACGAATATTTTCATAAATGACCATGTTTCTCTCTTTTATATAATATTCGTCTATCATATTATGTAATCTGTCATTTATCTAGTTTTAGATTTATATACTTGTAACAACCTGACTATTCCTATACTTTTTTAGAAAGTCCAAAGGAAAATAAAGATATTTATTTATTTATTTAAGGCGTCCTAGGAGGCCACCTTACAGGACCATACGTCCCAATCCATCTATCTGTGAAATTAGTATTCAAGAAATCTCGGGCATAGTAATAGTAGTAGTAGTAGTAGTAGTAGTTTATTGAAAAATAGGAAAGCCTAATATACAAACATCTCGATCATCCATAAAACATTTAACATCACACATATATATGTATAAAATTCACATTACATTACATTACATACAAGACACATATTTAAAAACCATTAACAATAATACTAAAAACAAAAAAGAGAATTTAACGACTATATGTAAAAACAGATAACTAAACAATCAAGATAATAATACAGAAAACTTGATACAGGTTGAGGACAATATCTGCATAGGCAGAATTGTCAGCTGCACTGTATTTAATGTCCTGTAAGGTTGCTAGAGGCAATTCTTCCTTAAGGACCCCGCACAAAACCATAGGGAATTGGCCCGCAGTGGGATTTGCCTGAAATTCACATATGTTATTGGTATGGAGTTTCTGATCAAATCGTTTCATGTGACCAATCCTCTAGGACCAAAGATTCAGCTCTCAGGGTCGTATTTAGTATAGGTGCCAAATAAACA